AGTCGTACCTCCGGTGTTATACATTGCCGTGGCTTTAATCAAACGATGCGTAAATCTACTCGTCCATTACAATTTGAAATTTTCCACACTTAAGATTTCTTTGCTTTATATTGTAAGTATTACTGTATATCTTTATTTATCAATCTTTCGACAAGACACATACTTTGAACAAATAAAACATTCCTATAGCATTTCTTATCTATAAACATTTTCCGCAAATCATATTATATTTTTATTAATTCATATGAACTATTTTAATACCGGCATTATAATAATCCACATTCAGACAAACTAAATATTATTCGAAAAATAATTCACCATCATATAATATTTCGTAGTGTTCTCACAAATGTGAGTCGATAGATTAATTAGTTCATCCAAATTTCAAAATATATATATATATATATGCCATGCGTTCTAGTATGTTTTGTTTATTAGGGTACAATATGGAACATTGTGTTGTTTTTTTACTGCTATTACATCGTATATTTGATTTATTAGACAAGTCCAGTAAATGTGAATGAACAAATAAAAGAAGTAGAACACAACTACGTTTAGCGAATAGTCCTTAATAATTGAAACATAATATAATAATAATTAATATAATGGATAATTTATAAGCACTTTTGATTGTTTTTTTTGTTGTTTTTTTGTGGCATGGAAGAACTATCACAACAAACACGAGGATGTGACACGAATCGTATAGAATTTATATTTGGTCGACACGTATATTCAAAATCCAGACTAATATAAGTGCTTAAATAGAGTAGTATCATGATCTTTTGCTTGGACTCCACGACCTTTAGTTATAGCGTCAGTGGTGAATTTTCCCAGCGTTGATATTCGCGACGTCTTCAAATAAATCTTGCCCAAGCTATGAGATAATGCAGCTGGATAGGGTATCTACTTCCAAAAAGATGTCCCCCTTTTTGTGATTGCTCGCTCCTGAAACAGATGGAATCTGCTTGCTTTTGAATCAACGAAAGTATCAACATAAAATGATTACGGATTGATAATAATTTATTTAATTGCAATTATTCAATTTTGATCTGATCACGTAGTAATCATTAACTCGACAATTCTCACACTAATCAACATAGTCCGTGTAACGAAAATATAAAAAAATCAAAGCCTTCCACTGTGCATACTTAACCTATATTATATACTCCAATACAAAGTCATAACAACCAACTTAATTAATTTACATAACAATATAAATTACATAATTAACAATACAAAAAGATAAATGATAATTACAGGTACATATGTATACGGTTACTTACCGGTGTCAAAATACCTTTACACATCACTCTACCGCCATCCTGTTCTCTGAGTACAGGCCATATGTACGTAAGGACTGTACTACTGGTAATGGATTCCCTTTGGATGCCAGAAAGTTCATGTTGATTTGGCATATATTTAGGTTTATTGCCATATTCTAGTGTGAGTGGCGGTGTTTGTACAACCATCCCCCAGGCAAGTCGGGCACACGATGAAATGTACTCCTTGAGTTCATTCACAATATATTTTCCGACATCTAACTTCTTGTCTTTAGCGAATGTTATAACACAGTCTGTAGTACTCTGAGAAAATCAGAAAATTCTGAATTATAACAGAATTCGCTATTTTCTAGTAGATCTTTTGATTTACTTAATCACCGACCTAAATATTTAAACCAACAAACCCCTACCTCAACAATTGGTGAAATATCACAGTTATGTGCTGTGCGCTTCAGTCCTGTATTTATCATCCCATCACAGTCAACCATATTCTCATTACCTGGCTTAATTTTAAACTTAACAAACATTACAGGCTGGGAGAGCAGTGCTTTCGCCCTGGTTTTGAACTTGACACACATTTCTGATGATTTAGTGTGAGTCACCTTTAATTGAAAAAATATAATTATGAAGTGATATTATCTAATATTCAGCTAGCGATTAGCATGTGTTCTAATTTATACCGATGATCATGAATTATTCTTTGTTCGTAACGAAGCTTTTTCATTCCTAACTGTATTATAAAATAAAAAATTGTAAATCAAAATTAATACTCAAATAATTTAAAACACTAATTAACACAGGGAAAGTTAAACTTGCTCCGTGTCAATTCTAGAAACACAGTTCCCTTCATTATAGTTTAAGCTATAGTGCTAGAATAGGTATTTTTTTAATTGAATTCGAAACTTTTAAAGTTCATCCGCATACATAAACTTTGGAAAATAAATGCACCAAGACAACAACTACATTTACGCATGATATAACGTTCGGAAGATGTTTCATTAACAAATCGCATTAAATATCGAATACTTACTTTCATTATCTCACAAGCTATAAGCTCGCTTGCTAGTTCATCACATTTTGTCTTCTTCTGTAGGAGGTCTATTGCATCCATTCTTTGACCGTCAGTGAATTCATTGTAATCAGCAGCCAGTGTCGACGGGCGAACAATGAATTCAGTGTTTTCAACCCTTGTGTGGTGGCCTGACGCAAGATTGATCTGTGCAGCTTCAGTCAATCTTGTAATAAGGTAATACAATATTTACAGTGAATACTATTCTTAACTTTAAAAACCACATTCGCAAAATAAATTACAACTACTGCATCTGAGTGACCTACATAATTAAAATGAATTTTCATATAGAAAACCCATATGTGTCAAAAAAATTAAATGTAACTTCATTTTGTTAAACAACAAAGACATTCGTATCCGATCACATAATCACAAAATACAGATACAAATATCTGGTGATTACTTCTTTCTACTGGCTATAATGGTTCAGAAAAATAATTGTGACACATGAACATAAACCACACCTTTTTTTAGTGTCCCGAATTACTATGTCTTTCTCGGACACCATCTCTTGGTATCTCATAATTTCTGTCTCTTCCCTGTATGAACAAGACAATAGATACACTGCATGAATAATAATTATGTTAATTATGTTAATAATAATATTACCATATTCATTACCTGCGCAAGCATGAAGGTAGGACATGAACTACATGGATAATTAGCCACTGCCATTGAAATTTACACTCATATTCCCTGTTCGACTCACAAGATCTTGCTCCATTTGAGGTCAAAGTTCACAATGTATGTTTGTTATAAACCACAGAGAAAATAGGCAGGGCTAAAATATATGGCGGACATGTTTTACATACTACTCACAACACATGGGCGCATTTTTGTGACAAAGTGTAAAAAGTCATGGTCACAGTATATATTCAGTAATTGGCTTCCTTTTCTAAGCCACATAATAAATGTCCTTATACAAATACGCCCTGACTGCCGTTACAATAAATTAATGTCGCCATTATGTTAATACCCACCTGCTCTTATACTCTTCTATATTGGTATTGAGTTTCTTTATTTTATTTTCTGCACTTTGTAGAGCCTTTTCTTTTTGTGATAAACTACAATATACATTAATATATGTGTAAATGCGATAACATACCCTTATTACAATAGGGAATGAATGTGTGTTTGTTATATAATTACAGGGGAACGAGTCAGGGTCCGAAGATATGGCATACTGCTCACAACACATGGGCGCATTTTCGGGACAAAGTGTAAAAAGTCATGGTCACACTATAAATATTCAGTATTGGATTACAAGAGGGAATTAGCTAGGTACTTCAAAATTGGTACACATATTTCGTATGTAACCCACATAATAAATGTCCTTATACAATAACGCCCTGACTGCCGTAACAATACATTAATGTCGCCATTACCTGCTCTTATACTCTTCAATATTGGTATTGAGTTTCTTTATTTTATTTTCTGCACTTTGTAGAGCCTTTTCATTTTGTGATAAACTACAATATACATTAATACATAAAGTACGATGAAATATAACAGAGAATAAAACAAGTATGCAAGACAATTATCACATAATTTTCATTAAAGATTGAACATCTCCTGGGTTCATTGGTGGATAGTATTCACCTTTGATAATTAACAAAAACAATCAATGACAACCTCAATTCACACGACTACCGGTAATATGGAATTGAACTACTTATGCCATCGCGTCCTAACCATTATTTGAGTGTTGATATCCGCTAAGCAGCATAAATGTTTTTTTAAATGGTTTTATTATTGTTCTCCCGCAGCATTTTTGATTGCTCAAAATCCTTTTCCATTTGTGACAACCTAGATCAAATGATGTAATGTGTTAGAGATGGTTTTAATTGTCTCAATACTTAATCAATGGTATATTGTATCGAAAGAAGTATACAAATTACCTGCGTTTCAGTTCTGTAATTTCCTTATTCTGTGTCTGAATGGTGTTTATATCTTTGGTTATTTTCTCCTTGTGCTGTTCTAAGCTGATATTAATAAGAAAAGGTCGACCACAATTAGCATATTCTTTACAGTTATTAATGATTGCAATAAATATCACACACAAAGTAAAATATGGCTTTAAATGTTATTGTAATGAGCAACTTGATGCAAATGTTCTGACTTTCGTATGCCCTAATCAGATTTTTTCACAGTATACGACCTCCAGCACGTGTTATACCGCATGATATCCATTGATGAGCCATGTCACCACGTAACCAGCTGTGTATGGTATTTTGAGTGATTATAATTTCACTATGTTCAATGGTGGGTCTAAATGGCATATTTGTTTTAACGAGCAATTTTTTTTTAATAAATGTAAATTTACTAACCAATATTTGCTATCGTTCCTTTCTCGCTCAAATTGTTCATCTTTATCCTGTATTACTTTTTTATATTCGGATATTCTGAAATGCAATAAAATACAGCACAGTTATTGGATTTCTAGTAGCAATCATTTATTACAACGTTCACAGTTTATGCCAATCAAATACTACATCCCCAAATCCAAATTTTACCAAATTGTTAGTTCGATATCATGCATGTAATTAAAATTAAACCCATTCTGTTTGTAGATTTTCCACAATAGCATCTCTTCTTTGAATCTGGTCATCAACTCTGCAATTCCAATCACATACATGCAGTGGGTAATGTAGTGTTCAGAGTATGA